TGTGAGATTGTATATTTTGTATTTGTACAAAACATGAGTGAGCACTGACAAATATCATTTCCAGCGATTTAAAGTTGTCTATGGTGAAAATTACACATTTTCTCATAATAAAAGATCTTTTGATAAAAAAAACTCCTGACTCTGTCTTGAAATGCTTTCAATTTTCAGATGCTGGTTTGGGGCTAAAGCCTTTAAATATTATTATTTTTTAAATGCATTGGCGTTTATACTTGTTTATTTAATATATTCCCGCCTAACAAATACTAATGCACAGTCTAAGATGATGACTGACTTCTATATTGTATGGCATGTTGCCAACAATGTGCAGAATTACAAATTAAAGATTGTAAAAGCTGCTTAGTTTTGAATTTAACCCAAAATAACCTAAAATACTCTACAGTTTTAAAACCATAATAGGAAAAAGATTTCAAGACAGAGAGTGATAAAAAATGTAAAAAGGAACAGTAGAGGGAGTAGTATTGGAAGAAGAAGAGGAAGAACAAAATACCAAAAAAGGGTCTTTAAAAAGTTGTGCAGAAATATTTTAAATCTTAACACGAAGCCCAAAAACGTGTGTTAACTTTTGTCAACAACCATTTTCACCTACAGGCTAGCTAATGTTAGCCACAATGGCAGCAAATGAACTGAAATAGATTAAATAAACCCTAAGTAATTAAAAGTCAGATCATGATAGCTACCTATTAGCCAAAACAAAGTTAGAATGACATTGTATTGTGACACCAAGCCCTTCTATAGGATGGAGATGCACCTGTTTAAAAAGTGAATGTTCTACTCTGCTGTTGTGTGTGCATGCGTCTGTGTGTGTGTGTGTGTGTGTGTGTGCACAGTCAGGACAGGGCCTTGTCTGTATCAGATGAAGCTGCTTATTTCTCTCAGCGGCCATCAGTGTGTGCACAGGAAACCATTAACAAGGAGGGGATATCCTGGACAATAGCAGCCTGGCTGGCCCCATGTGCTTCGTGGGAACTAGAGGAGGAGGAAAGAGAAAGGGAGGGAAGGTTTGAAGGGGGTAAGAGGAAGGAAAGGAAGGGACAAGGGGGCACAGAGAGGAAGATGGAGGGAAAAAAATCAGGAAATAAAAGAGAGGGAAGAGAAAGAGGGGAAGTGCAGCTCGGAGGTTTTGTCTCTGCGCCATCATTTCAGTTTGCACCAGCTGCACTCGCTGTTTTCAGCTCCTACATGCTATCTAGGATGACGCAGGGGCCAGCTGGTGATGTCAGAGTTCCAGCAGCCAAAAACACGACAATGTCTTTTGAGCTAGTAGAAATTGTCTAATGGCTCCACCTACTGGCAATTTTTGATACATAAACGTTGACGGTGTTCAGTCCGAATTCTCTGTTTTAAAAAAAATAGGCCCCAGGGGTTGATAAATATATTTCTAATATAATATAAACTCCGACTGATATGACGTCACAGCGCGAAACACCGTATCGACACACTGAAACAAATATGACTGGGACGCAGAAGAGAAAGAATATACCCAGCATATATTATAAAATACAACTATTTCGAATCGTTCATTTTATCAAGATGCATGTTTGATTGAAGATCTAAAATGTTATTAATAAACTTCTCATATGTTCTCTATTTATTTAAAATTGTATTTACTTGTACATTCAGATCTACAAATGATTTTACATTAACAATTAAATGTGCGTCATTCCCGCTCTGTGGTTTGCGCATGCGTAGCAAGAGCTTTTACATTATACTGGAAATCTCATTTTTCAAACAATCATTAGGTCGTCGTCGAGTGTGTGTGGATGTTACGAGGGGAAGATAACTTGACACAAACAAACTTTTTACGTTTTAATTACACAATGAAGTAGTTTTATTTTATGCTCGGTCATATTATGGACACTAGTGCGTTAGTTTTATTCTCAAAAACGTTTTTGGCTTTTTTTTTTCGGGTCACAGCGGAAAAGACAAATGTTTGAAAAACCAAAAGGTAAGAATTAAACTTTGAGGATAATTTTATGTTATTGCACCTAATATAATTTGTTTAGTTGTACAGTCTGCTTTTCGTTCGGGTTAAATGTCATTTCTCCTGAGTTGACTGTACTAATACCACAACAACATTGTTGCTTTTTAGTAATGTCGTCAATCATCTATTTTATTTCTTTCTGCACGCAAATACAAACTTGTTCTGCATTAACGATAATTTACACTGCGGGACCTCTACATTTACGCAATTTCTCTCGGTAGTTTGCGCATAAGTAGCAAGAGAAGGCATTTAAATTAAACCGGAAGTATTGCTCTTGTTTATCAAACAAACATTTAGTGTGTATGGAAGTCACAGGGGGAAAGATAACCTGATTAAAAACAAACTCGTCTCGATTAAACTTAAAAATGGATGCGTTTATGTGCTGTTTAGTCATTTTATCAAGAGTTGTGCGTTAGGTAGGTAAACTTTTTTGTCGGTAAGTTAACATGCTAGACACTGCGGTTCAACGTTCTCAGCTCTGTAAACACTCAATGCACAGCGGATGACTCGTCCGGAAAAGGCAAATGTTTGAAAAATCAAAAGGTAAAACTTAAGCCTCCATATGTTAAAAGTGGAGCCAACATTGGAATTAGTAGAAGTCGTTGTAGTAGCAGTTGTGCTCCAGGTGGAGGAGCTACAATTGTTGATTTTCTGACTTTATGTCAAATATACTGTTGGATCTTTAAAAACAAATTAACGGTTTAATTTACCTTTTATACAAATACTCTCTTTTTATACAAATAGAGTTGTAGTAAACTTTTGTAAGTTAGTAAAAAGACTGGGTCTGACTGTGTTCAGGCTGAACCACCGCGTCTATTCACGGACGCGATCCCACTACCTTATCAGTATGCTTTTGGCACCAGTACGACTTTAGTTTTCATTAAGTTTTTTTTCCCAATCACTTATCAGTCTCCTCTCTCGTCAACAGTACGTCGTCAGTTATCATAATGAAGAAATGTGTGGCTCTGCGGCCACGGCAATGCTCTGCACGGACATCTGACCAACGGCGGTAGTTGTGTGTGGGACAGCACTCCTGTTTATCCTGACCCAGGTAAAAATGAGAAATATTTCACACTTGTTAAACAGTTTACAATCAAGACAGACCACAGGTTGCACAGTTGCTGGTCAAGTGTTGTTACAAGTTGCTCTACAGCAGGGGTCACCAACGTGGTGCCAGTAGAGTAAAATAAAACTAGTCAATAAGAGGGTCAAACATTGTATTGTTACTGTGCTTTTTGAATCAGTTACACTTGCAAATGATATTCAAATGTGTGCAATGAGGGTGGTAAGAAGAGAGTGTACTATTGTATGTCCCAGAACTTATTACATTGTT